TGAAAATCGGGAGAGATTTAGAGAACCTTCTTCGTTAACTTTCCATCACACCCAAACCGCATAACTTCCCAGGCATTAGAGATATCCTGAATGTACACATAGTAGTGTTTCACCGTGTCAGACGGGCTAAATATGGAACTTAATCACCTCGAGTATACAGGATAGACCAGTGGTAATGTAATGGATGGTGAAAAACAAACAAGAAGTGTATTATCAGTGTTCCTGGTCAGTTTTAAGTAGGAAGGACTTGTGCAAGAGTGCTACATATAATACTAATTGAGCTTCTAAAGTGAGTGTATTAGAAAAAAAAATGTGTTTACCTGAAAGTTAAGTTACTGTTTTAGGTATGATGAGCCAGAGCATATTTTCATATGTGGTGCTTAAGTGATTTTCAGCATCACCTATGAAAAACTGTATGTCAGTTTTCAAGCTATTTTGGCTTATTCTGTTAGCATGACCTGATATTCTTATGTTTATCCACTATATGGTGAATCATGAATTGTTGTAAAGTAAATAGGAATATTGCCCAGAAAATTTATTATCTTGTTCTTTATTATGTCAGTATATTCATAGGGTGTAAAAATATTCAAATATAAAAATCAAATGGTAAAGATTCTGGTAGAAGTATAATTTTCTGAAGTAGTGACTCTTTATGTTGCATGATTTATATGCATGATTTATGCCCTTATAGTATTTGTCATCTTTAACAAAGATTAGCAAGTATTTTGATACAAACTGGGCAATACACAAAGATCTCATTCAAAGTGCAGGTAATTTATTTACTCTCGAGAACACCGCCACGGTGTGTCAGTATTTGTACTTAAATGGAATGAAAACACTTCTTCAGTGGTACCTAAAAGGAAGAGCTAGTATTAGTCAAAGGAATCAGAATTTGAGAGACATGAAATTTGTAGACTTGTACTTTTCTAGACAGTTATTTTGACAACAATGAGAACCAATTTTTTATTCTTCCAATATCCATATGTAGTTGAGCTGGGGTTTCACTTTTAATTATTATTGCAACTCACAGCCTTCTGTATTATTAACTCAAAAAAGAACTACGAAGCTAGTCATTGTACAGTGTTTTATTCGGAAAGTTTGGTAAAAAGCAATGTAGAATGGAAGAACTGGCCTCCTAGTTCCACATAATTTTTTTTTCTTCATCTTCTTCTTTTTTTGCCATGTAAAGTCTCTTTTTGTTTAGTGTTGTTGTTTAATATTCCACATTGATTCACATTCTCAGATTTCAGACTTGATTGGAGGTCATTCCAGTACCAGAATTTAACAGTGTTGTATCTCAGATTTCATGTAGCCATTATAAGTAGGACCTTTTCTCAGATATGGTTGATGTTTTGGCATCAAGCACACTTCTATTACTAATCAGTCAAACTAAATATGCTGGAGTGTTTATTCACATTTTGTAATGAGTTTTATGGGATATTTACAAACTGATAACATTTTTATTATCCTTTCAATTGCTTAACCCCTTGCCGCCGGGTGACGCCGATCGGCGTGTAAACAAAGAGCTCGAAAGCTGGCGTGCAGCCAAACGAGCCGGCGGCGCGCCAAAGCGCGGCGAGCCAGTGATTCGGGCTGATGTCCCCTACTCACGCGCTCAAAGTCAGCGTGCCACCTTTGTTTGTTTAAGCGTAGAGTTTTTTTTTTCTTTTGTACACCCGGCGCCATTGGGTTAACCTCCTATAGGTGTCATGAAAAATCTACTCGTCATGACAGGTATGGCTATAGGCATCATGACTTGGTCTGGCAAGTCAAGCAGGCTGTGAACCACCTGGCAGAAAGGCTAGATGGTTGCCAGAAGTTTCTGGAATGATTGACACATACAAATTTCTCGCACTGTCAGTGTAGAGTTAAAGACATTCAGGGAATATGAAAGAAAGTAATTCATTGTACCTTCTCTTTGTTGGACTCAGTTCTTTGTCAGAAATCACATTTCAAGCTAGCTACAAGGGTGGAAACCCCTTTGACAAGCCTGATTTCAGAAATAGATATGATGGGGGAGACAACAGCTTTACTATTAAGTGAAGGGAATGAGTGAGGTTTCCCTTTAAGCTGAGGGATTGGTAGAGAGGCCTTGTTCATGACCTGCCTCTTCTTGGTGAGCTTGTTCTGAAATTTGTTATCTTGTTTATTTTCTTATGTGTTGTTTCCCATGATATCCTGTTTATTTGGGGAAATTATTGTATTGTTTGTAATAAGTGACTATTTAAAAAAAGTGATGATAATACACTGTTACACAAAAATAGGGCAGCTATTTTCAAAGTTTGAAAAGTTTACCATCTTTATTTGAAGTTAGCTTGTAATATTTGGAAATTAAATGAATTTTAGGATTCTGTTTATTTAATTGGTAGTCTCAACATTTAGGTCTTGTCTGATATTTTATTGATTAATGATTTGCTCTTTAAATTATTTTTGTTATGACTAGGTTTGTAGCAAGAATATTTTGGTTTAAGTGATATAATGACCAGTTGTAAGTGTAATGGTCTCAATACAAGTGTTTATTTATTCAAAATATGTAATAAAAAATGAATGTGTGCATTTATATAAAAACCTGTTAGTATATCACAATGGATATAGGGAAAATTATTTCAGTTGATATTGTATGGAACTAGCTGTGTTTTATCAAGTTGTTATACCAAAGAATACCTGTGTTTATGAGGCATTTAGAATATAGTCCTGTTACTTATCAGTGCAGGTTAAATATATTGAGATTATTTTACAAATGACAGTAATGCATATATTGTATTCTACAAAACAAATAGAATTTTATCTAATAGAATTCTACAGTTGCATATGAAAAAATAGTTGAACATGTTTTAAGTATCATTCTCCCTAAATCCTTAGGTTCATCTGAACTGGGTTACTGCCATTGTAAAAAGTTGTCAAATTATATTTTAACTTGAAGATGATTAAATATAACATTCTATCTTTACTAACTATTTTCAGTTGTCTTTTTCAATATGCATTAGTTTTGAATGTAAGAGTTGGATCTATACCATTATTTGCACTCAGTAGTTCTTATCAGACTAAAAATATTGTAATGTACCTGGTCGCACTGCACAACTTGTGAGGAGAAGCACAGTTTAGGTGAATATATGTCCTTATTTATTGTATTACTTCAATTTTTCTAGACCACGCGACATGTATCAGGATATCCTGTTGATAAACCTGAGATACAGTGGAGAAGGTATTACATCCTGTGCAATATGGACAGATCACACAACATGTAAAAGAAGTACATTCACCAAATGAATAAATCTTGTACTACTGTAGAATGATTAAACAGACTACCCTCCAGCCTTGTTTTAGGAACAGCAAGTTATAATATTGTTGCTCACCTGATTTCAGTATGATTCTCTGTTGGTCTGATACTTTGGAAGAACACACCATGATGTCCGCAGGTGCCAAAATGGTTTCCCCCTCAGAAGGACTTGGCGCCTCGGCCTTCTATGTATCTTTTATCGAACGGGCAGGTCTCCTTCCTTTCTCGATTTATGATAATCATTTTTGGGCTTATATGAATGCTAGAATACCCTCCTCCCTCTGAAACCTTTATTATGATAGTCAGCCTTTGCATCTGAACAGGAATGGCCCTGGCCAGGTTCACTTCATAGGTGGCTGAGATACCCATTCTAAGCAGAATTTACCTATTTTCATTAGTTTATGATTTAGTTCCTAGAAGAGGGATTTCCAGGCTTGTATTTTATAAATTATCTCCTCTTTGTATGATACAATCCTTTAGTAAATAGAATATTTCTTTGTTATGAAAGTATTAGTACTGTTCTATTTATGAATGATGGTATTACTATAGATCTGTCTAGTGTTTATTAGCCATGTGGTTAAGAAATCTAGCATTTCTGTACACTTGTATATATTGAAATGTATTTAGTTGTGGCTAAGTATACAGGTACAAAACTGCTATTCAGTTATATTCTTTGTAAAATTTAGTGGGAAAATAGGAAGATTAGCATTGTCTTCAAACAATCAAAATAATGTAGTGTTTTATTAAACTTTATATGCACTTATGTTTGGAACAAAACAACATTGTGTAATAATCAAAATAGAAAAAAAATGATCACAGAAAAGAATGAAGACTCAAGTGTGAAAAAAAATAATCTTGAGAACCGGTTATTATAAAGTATATTTTTGGCAGTGTTGCCTCCTACCTTGCTTATTTACAAACTCAAAGATGGCCTTGACAGTAGCATGTGGCTTAGATACAACTGCTGTGAAGCCATAGTCATTGTATGGGACAATGCACTTATGTGGCTTGAATTGAAGCTTAACCTTGAAGTTACTCTCTCTCTTAGGTATTTGATGATGATATTTTCCTTTCCTTCCAGATGTCAAACATAACCAGCCCTCAGCGGTTTTCAGGAACCTTTGACCACTTTTACGATGGGCATTATGAGCCAGATATTAGCACCCAGATGAAGGTGCCAAAGAGAATACGTGTCACAGGTACTGTTGATTCTTCTTCTTCTTCTTCTTCTTTTTCTTCTTTCTTTCTTTCTTTCTTTCTTTCTTTTTGTGTGTGTGTGTTTATTTCTTTATTCTTTTTTATTGTAATAATTTTTATTTTTTGCAAGTAATCATTAATACTGTAAATTACACTGAAATATGCTAGCAATTATTTTCCCAATGTTTGTGTCAATAGATAAAACTTTGTTTTTTCAGGTGATAATGAGGACGACCCAACAGTTAACTGGGCTCGGTACAATGGAGTTAACGAGAAGTTCGAAATGAGCGTTCCAGATCGAATTGTTGTGGCAGGTATGATGTCATTACCAGACAAAATAACTTTAGCAGGTAATATGCATAAGAAACTCTTTCAAAATTTGCAAGGACATTGGAGAGAGACCTTAGATTTCCTGGCCAGTCATTGAGACCCTAGTGTACTCTCTGGCTTCATTGAGGAACTGTTGAGTGGATGCCCTTGAAGTGCAACAGACAAAAAACAAGACAGCTTAAAATTGTGGCGAGGTAGTACTGGGCAACCACAGAGATAAACAGATTTGGTTATCACTGATAAATATACCTAATATGTTTATTTACTTATTGATTTATTTTTTATTTATTTATTTTTTTTTTCTGAGGAGTTATGTTCCAGACTCTTTCTTTAAGATGTGGTTAGATTTTTCAAAGTTGTGCATAAAAAAAAAAAAAAAAAAAAAGATAAAAAAAAGGATTGGAGAGAAAACTTAAAAGGCCTCAGTTATGCAAGTCAGGAAAAGTACCGATGGAAAGGTGTCTCTCCATTGTCCTGCTCATGGAGGAATCATGTCATGCTGTCAGGGAATGTGCAAGAAAGTGCGAGTCCTCTGCTGTGAGAGCTTCTTGGCCGTGGGGGTTGGTGGTGGTGGTGTGTGCTATGCAGCTGGTGCTTTGATCAGAAAGGTGTTCTGTTTAAAACTGTTTTATTGTGTTGATTAAAGTTAGGAAGTTTTGTTATTTTGATTATTATTTTTACAATAATAATGATAAGGATATATTGTTTGCAGTATTATTGTTTATCGTCATTATTAGGACTAGTCTTATTACTGTCAGAAGTGTTATTGATATTGTGATTATTAGCCAACTGTGATTGTTACTGCTTATTATTTATTTCTGTTATTACTACTGCTGTTACCTCTGTTACTTCTACTTTAAGGCAATTAATATTTCTATTAGTAGTGTTACTTTTTATCATTATCATTATTATGTGTGTGTATGTAGGGTCCCAGCTTCCTGTGTGTCAATGTGTGTTTGTGTGTATGTGTATGAACATACAGTACATATACATATTGACAAATCAACACCATTTGGTTCAGTTCATCTCTTGTAACATCTTTCAGTTTGGAAATTTCACTTTTTTCTTTCCTAATTTCTTTTTCTTTTTTTAACCCATTGGATCCAGGTGATGCGGCTGTATTGCCATGAAAAAAAAGTGGCCAAGGGGCGGGTGACAGGGAGGTCTTGATATGGGAAATTGATGCTGAGTGTTGGGTGATGGGAACATCTTGTCACAAGTGATTAAAGCACTTGGAGTGAAATTGACTTCAGGAAATGGCACGTTTGCGAGCTCCTGTAGAATTTTCAGTGGTCTACAAGTGTTAAATTTACCAGCCATCAACCATGCCTGGGAGAGGGCTATCCCCAGGGAGGACACTATATCCATATGTTGGAACTTATTCCTGCCCAAGGTTACTGATGGTGTAGGGTGTGCTTCTTTGAACAATGTAACTTATTGTTAGTTATTGCACAGAGTGCAAACTACCTGGAGAGATGATATGGAGTCTGCACAATGAAAACTGTCTGCTGTGTCTATCAGCATAGCAAATTGGACCTTGTAAAATAGCAAAACTAAAAATGTATAAATAGAAAATGGGGCTAGTAGCATTGCAAATAGGAGGCAAGGAGTCTTGATACCATGTATGGGTGGGAGTATTGGCTGGGCCAACAACCCAAATACTTAGAAGAATCACCATTCAAAGAAGCTGTGAGGCACCTATATCCAATGGGATAATCCAAGCTTTTAACATTTTGGTTGGTTAAATATTAACAAAGGGATGGCAGCCAAGAGTTCCTATTTAGCCCATGCCTCTGGGCCTGCTGAAATCCTTAAAAGTTGCTCTCAGTTTGGTATGACATCATGCCATTTCAGAAGTAAAGGATGAAAGGGGTGATGGCTTATTCAATATGTATATATAATTTATCTGTTTTTATACTGTGCAAGTTGTGAAATGTTCTGTTTGTATTTTTTCTTCCCATTTAATTTTTAAAGATAACTATGGTGTATTTATTCAGTTTTTTTATTCTTTTACATTCTTTTCTTTTTTTCTTCTTTTTTTTGTGTAAATGTTAAGTTCTGATTGTCATACAAGTATTTCTTTGCTCTTATTATACTTGTAGGAATATCATAATGTACTTACTTTTTGCTAATCATTAGCAGCCCCATAGAAGTGAAATATATAACCCTGATATATACTCATGATATCTCTTTATGTCATGCAAGATTCAGGGGAATATAATGTCCTCAATAACCTGTCTTTCAAGGTGGAGATCAGCACATAGGAACACGAGGAGTTCCCCGCGAAGTTGAGGTAGAAAAGTCGATAATGCCCACACCTGATCCAGCTCAGTTCAGAGTACAGGTAAATATTATGCTTTGTTTTTACCTCCCTTTTTCTCTTCCTGCCCTTTACCCTCATGCTCCGTTTCACTATTGGCTAAGTTGAATAATATATATTTTTTTTTATGGAATGTAGATGTCATAAAAATTTTCCAATGGTCTTGTATGAGGTCATTTAGTGTTGAATCTCTTGAGAACAAACCATTTGGGTCTCTTACAGAATGTACACCACCCCTCACCTGAGCATCTCTCTTGGAGGGTATTATAAATGTTGTCTTGATCAACACCTGACACTCATTGCGTGCCCTTAAAAAACAAGCTAGAAAATCGCATGGCATTGTGTAGTGGCTTAGATTTTGTCAGAAAGAAACAGAATTGAGTTCCTTACCATCAATGTTCACACTTATATTCATCATTTTTTTTTACTACATTCTGTAAGGAAATTGATTGATATTAATAAGGAAGTTTTGACATTAAAAGGAATGACATTGTTTTTGTAGTTTCATTACAGGTAGATGTATTGTAGTAGTGTCTTGGTATTGGGATATTTGTATATTTTTTGCTGTGTATTTAGATTAGTTCCATTGTACTGATATGGACACTTGTATTGTGAAGTTTTAACATGGGTGTTTAATTTTTTTTTTTCTTTGTTTATCTTCTGATATACATTATATGTACTTATTTGTTCAAATGATTGTTTGCAAATTATTATAAGTATACATTATACATGTGACTAAATTTCAGAGGAATTATACATAAGTGTAACTAATGTCCATAAACTTTTTCTTGTCCCAAACTAGACTCCACCTCGCACAATTACCCTCGACAGCTACAACTACCCTGGAGTTGATGATATTTCTCCAACTGAGGACAAAGAAAGCAGTACCCCAGGGTCAGCTCCTACCATCCTCCCTCGCGGCTCCACCTCAGGCATGCATGCTGTGTAAGTTGAGGTTTCCTTTGATTGTTGAAATCACGCGCGCGCACACGCACACGCACACGCACACGCACACGCACACACACACACACACACACACACACACACACACACACACACACACACACACACACACACACACACACACACACACACACACACACACACACACACACACACATACACACATACACACATACACACATACACACACACACACATACATACACATACACATATATATGTACATATACATACACATACACACACATATAAGCAAATATAGAATAGGTGTATAGAATTGATATCTAGTAACTGGATGTGTATATTAATGGGGTAAAGTAGATAATTGTAGTAGCAGAAATGTATTTCATTAGTTCTTCATTTTTCTGGTGTAATGTTTTACAAAGAGGCATAGTCATATGAATTTGAAGCTACTCTGACAGTGTAGTTGTAAATTGTTAATTATATTACCAGGTGAAACCCTTCAAGATCCTTGACATTATTTTATCTCTAGACTTTAGTGAATAATGTGACCTACATTGGCATAAAGCAAGAATAATTCATGGCTGTGCATGCAGAAAATTATGGCTTTGGTGGTATTGCTTATGTATAAAAAGTGAATTGCAATTTACAAAAATAAATAATGCAGCAATATCTAAGTCTGATATGTTTGCGTAATCATTGTCAGATTTTTTAAGTAAAGAGATGCATGACTTAGAATGCATAGATATAATGGTAATAAATGGCAGTGCTTGATAACATCTTTGTAAAACCAATACCTCAACCTTTTAGGTCCAAACCCTCAGATTTTATTTAATTGATGAATTTATTTATTTATTTATTTGTTTATTTCTATGTTTAACCCATTGCCGCCAGGGAAAATGAACAAAAAATGGGGGAAATGCAGTACTCATTTTTTATATTTTTGTGAAATATCTCTGTCCATAGATGGCTCTGCTAGTCCTGATTTCACCTTTCCTTGAATTGGCGGGAAAAAACGTATTTTTACTAGTGCTATAAATATAGATGGTGTTATTTTTAACAGCAAATTAGGATAACGTTAAATATTTTCGTAAATCGATGAAAAGGGTGAACGGGCGAGACAGGCAGTACTGTATTTGGCTCATTGGATACTTAGTACAAGTGTAGCCATCTATGAGTAAAAACAATCAAACAAGTCGACTCACAGTTGGCATGGCATGTACGTACATGCCATCCCCGGCGGCATGTGGGTTAAGTAAAAAAAAAAAGATGGAATCATCTCCATAAAAAGTATTATTTTTGCATGAGTGTTTTACTCTTAGATAATTTCATACTTTATATACATGCTCACATCTTTATAAGCTGTATTTTCCCTAAGAGGCAAAATTAGTTTATCATCAAGATTATGTAATCTACTTTATTGGCTCAACCCCTGGCAATAAGTGTTTTGAAATAGTGAAACAGATACAGCTGATGGGAAGTAATGCTGTCAGCAATTATGGTTTAGGTAGCACATGGACATAATATATTTGGGGAAAATATGTTATTAGAACAGTTCTGTGGAATTTGATATAACTCTGAGTCATTGAAATATGTTATATGTTGGAAATTCACACAAATTGAATATAAGCTAATTATCCAATATTTTAACCATCCTCCCAAATTTGTGAAGTTGGAAGAGCTGTCTGCCACATCATTAACCCAACATTGCTGGGAAAATGCTGTGTTCATTTTAGAATTTTGTGAAATGTCCCTGCACATAATGCAGTGCTTAACCTCATGAGTCAATTAGTAGACCCTGTGACCTTACCTGATTTCATCTTTTACTTGAATTTGCAGGAAAAAGCACAAGTGGAGCTATCTAAATGTAAAAACAATTTATAAAGTAAATTCAAAGTGGGCATGGAAAGTATGTACATGCCATAGGTGTTGGTTTGGGGTTATCGTTG